TTCAAAAACAGATTGCGGAGGGGAAGATTAGCGCTTACAGTAAAGTCGATGCCGGGGTGATCGGCGCCCCAGAAAATGTCATGATCGACCACCACGAAATTTCCTGAAACGGTGTCGCCTTCGTACAATACGTACTCGTAGACGCATTCAATCTCGTTCACGGTGACTGAAATGGAATCGATTCCGGCGATTAGGCTCACCAGAAGAAGACCCGCCAACAGGTATCCGAATCTCCTCTCTCTCTGCCTCTGCCTCCTCTCCATTTCTCTCCGTTCCTCTTCGTTTCTCTCTCTCTTTTTGTTCGAAATTCTGAGAATGGTTAATCAGGTCTTAGCGGCGATCAATTTTCGAAAATAGACCTTTTTCTTTTTCGGAAAATTAATCTTTCCATAATATCACCTATTGGAAAATGAGCACGTCCGTTTAATAACCCCTTGTGTTTTTATCCTTTTTCGGTTTTTTGGTCCCATGTTTAAAATTAGGCTAAATTACCAAAAAAATATATGTATATATTTCTGTCGCGTCAAAAGTTTCGGTATTTCAAGAATAAACATTCATTCGTATTTTAAACGAAAATTTGACTTGGTATAATTTAAATAGTAATTAATGTTTTAATTTTATCGTAAAAGTCTTATTCCTCCATTATCAATTATCAAGAGAATTTGCTTCTCTATTGTCCCAATTTTATCCTAATTTCCTTTTAAAAAACGATACTTCTTAATTCTTCCACATTTATCTCTTTTCAACTTAATAGAGGTGATCTTCCACGTTCAGTGCACGTCAACTTTCCATTCGAAATATCAGTAGATGTTTGTTCAAATGATGTTTTTGAATCGTTTATAAAAGGTAAATGGTAGTATTGAGACTTTTGAATGAATATGAATATTTTTAAACAAATGACAAAGTTTAATTGTACAACGTAATTTAGCCAAATTATTATGTTTGAGTGTTAAATGGGTATAGTTTAATCTCTAAATTTTTAAATTTATTCATTTTGGTCCTTAAAGATTTAAGAATATTTATTTTAATACTTAAACTTTTAAAAGATAACTATTTAGTTACTACGGTTGCTTTTGCCGCTAATTATGAATAACATGTTAATATAAACATGTACGGGACTCACATAAGTTAGATGATTGGTTACGGATGAATAGATCAGACGTTAGATGGTATGATAGACTTTTTGTTATTGAGGTTTGGGATAGATGCCTATTTAGTCTTTAAATTTTGAAAATGGACACTTTCGGTTCCTATTTGGGGTGGGTATCTATTTGTTCGTCAAGTTTTGAAACAGACACTTTTGGTCCCTAAAACTTGTAAAATAGTTATAAATTGTCCCTTGATCGCTAATTGATTAACCTTAAGAATGACGTAGCTGTTGAATTATCGACGATAATCAAGAAGTCTCCTTTTCGAGATCTGAAATCTCTCCCTCCTTGGAGAAGTCTCCCCCTTGTTTCCATGAAGAAAAAGTTTCTGGATCTGGAAGATTTAATGAATCTCGCCGTTTGATATGAACGAGGATCCAGATGAGTGCAGCTAAGAGGTGGCCGGCAGTGAGAAGAGGAGAAATAAGGAAGAAGATAAAAAAAGTACAATCACCCTAATAATTAATATTATATTAATATATTTTGCCTAATCACACCAATTTAAGAGCCACATCATTCTTAAGGTCACATACTCAACTAATAGTGGAAATGTTTTAAGAAGCATTTAGAATCATTTTACAAACATCAAGAACTAAATGGACACCACCTCCCAACCCATTTTACTTGTATTCTATTTCTACTAGCTTGTTCTCTTTATCTTTAATGGAAAGCAAAAAAAAAAAAATAATAATAATCTGGAAATTTCCTACGACCACGTCACTGCAGGAAAGTTGCCTTTGTTTCTTCTGGTGAATTATGAAGCCACGTCATTGCCCTTTTCATGTGTGGACAAACCAACCCACGTGACTGTCCTATTTGGCATTAAATAAAAATGATGACGTGGAATTTAAATATCCACCACTCTCCTTCCGGCTTCCCCATCCTCCGCTATATAAACCCCGCCCAGGGTTTTGCAAGAATCGTCATAAACA